CATCAAGCTACAACGTTGACACATCCCTAGGTCCTAAAAGAATGAAGCTCCTGTGTCTCAGTCACTGCATTCAACAACTGCCAGGCAGAAAGAACAGCTTTCTCCATTGCAGCCACATTGTCCTTCCCTGAGCCTGCTTCTGCTACTTACTACACCTAATCATGGTTCATGGCTCACTAGTCCAATGAAAGATCGGCATCTTACAGCTCCTAAAAGTCCTGTCATTTTGCTAATATATACATATATATAACTGCGGTTTCAGTGGGTTTTTAGAGTTTTATAACTAATCTTAGCTTTCCAGGAAAAATATGAAGGGCTAAATTGGGAGGAGGGGTAGTAAGCAGAGCTCCTTGCACTGTTAAAGAACTTCACAAATCAAGAACTGTGTACAGCTGAGTCATTTCAAGATACAAAGGAAGACAGTGATTGGGACCCTGAGCTAACACAAACCTCTCCTTGTACACCGTGCTAAACTGCAAAATCTTTTTCTTCTAAAACGCAACATATGGACTCTGCCCCCCTCTGTGCCTGTCATAATCAATTTGAAATAAAATGAAAGAGTTATTTAAAAGTCATTATTGAACTGACTGAAATTTTAAAATATTACCACTGTCCCATGATCACGAGTGGAGACAAACATCCTTTCTAATGTCTTCAGGGGAAGGATGCAGGCCTGTGGGGTCAAGAAACCCAATAGTCCACAAGGCATGGCAGAAAAGGCACAAATTCGGGTTAAGACAAATCTGGGGTTGAATGAGTTTGGTCATTTCTTAAACTGTTTAATCTTGGCCCAAACCAGGCAATCTCTTTAAGCCTCAACTTCTGCTTCAGTAAAATAGGTATAAAACACCATCTATATCAAAAGATAGATAATGGGGAGAGATGAAACAAGATACGTACAGTAATGTGAGGTGTCCAATACCTGCTGTTGTTGTTGGGTGCCATCAAGTCAACCTAAGTGGTGCCAATAAACACTAATTACGATCCCTGAAAGTGCTGAGTTGAAAACTCTGGAGAATCCTTCTTATATGGAAGAAGAGAAAATAACACTTCCTGGAAGCATCCTTTGCAAGTGACAGACACTTTGTTAGGCACTTATTCATAATTCTTACTTAAATTTTAAGATATCCTTTAAGTATTTTCCCCATTTCCCTACTTTAATAGGTTAAGTAACTAACCAGGTCACAGTTAGAAGGGATGATTCTAACTAAACCAGGTCTTGCCGACATCCAACACTAGGTAGGCTATACTACATGTCTTACGTAGCTACTTTTGAAAACACATGCTACTCTTAAAAGGTGGTTTCAATCGGAAAGAAGTTAAATTGAGCACATTTTTTAACACAATGAATTCCAAAGTGAACACTGATTTCTAGATCTTAATCAAGACTACTATCATAACTAAGGTTTACTATCTAGAGCACCACAATGAATCATTTCAATAATAGCTGTCCTTGTTACAGAAACCATTATTTACAATATCCAGGTCATCAAAGGTAAGCCACAGTATGGGCGACCTATGCACACACACTATATAAATACTATCTTTAGCTCTGACCAACAACCGAGACTACTGCTGAACCCAGTCCAAAAGGCCCTGGTGGCACTTCCATTCATTCCGGGACTGAAGTGTCTGCTGTATAAATAGCACTTCCTATGGTAAACCCTTGTAAAAAACAAAAAAAAAAAAGTCCAAGACAAAGCTACCACATAACAAAGTTCACATTTCACTTGTACTGAAGATTAAATCCCTAAATAGTATACAATTTTACAACTCTTGTGTCATCTAAAAATAATTTCTCATTAGTACTGTATAAATTGTTAACTCTTCACAAACTATTATTTCTAGTCAGTTGACCAAACTTCCTAATCATTAAAAAACACTTCCAGCAGAAAACCTAAGATTTAATTCTTCAATATTTCACCAAAGATATGAGACTTCTTATGATTCCATATTAAATTACAGGGTATTGTAAAAATTAAACTCCAACAGAAGTGTGCCCTGAGCTTACAAAACAGATTTTAGAATTGTGGTTTTAAACCTCTTTTTGAGGAACACCTTTAAGAGTTTGATAGAAGCTGAGGACCCTTCTCTCCAAAAACGCACACACAACCATGCATGTAAAACTTTGCACGCTACTTAAGGTACCCCATGAAAGTCTAACCACAGCCCCCACCCTAACTTATAAGGAATTCATCAACCCCAGACAGACTCCTTATTTACGAAGTTATTTGTAATTTAAGATATTTTTCTCCCAGTTTTTAAGCAGCAAGTTTCCTTGAAGAATTTACATTTACCAAATTATAAAAATTTTATTTGCCCACAACCTTGCATTAAAAGAACACTTCACATTCTCACAATACTTAAAAATTCTGGTGCCCTTTACCCACTATTAAGAGTGCTCATAAGATGTGTGGCCCTGAACTAGGGGTGGCAAAGAGAATTCTAAGACACTGTCAAGGCCAGTGACCTTGAGAAGTTGCAAGTAGTTGTACAGTCTGTTCTATTTTAAAAAAAAAAAAAACAAAACTTCTTTCAACAATTTACTGACCATTTTGAACAAAAACAGGTGTAGCCTTTAAGCTGAAATCTTTGCATGGGTTGGAAAAGGCATACTGTAGGACAAAAGGATCAAAAAATAAATTCACAGAAATTAAGGAAGGAAAAACATGACCAAATGCTAAATTTTCTAAGTAACACACTTAAGAATGTGTTTGACTTACCAGATATACTTAGGTTAAAACCTATGGCCAATTCCAGAAGTTAAGTCAACTTGACAATAGGGAATAAAAGACAACATTGAATTAGGTTAGAGAACTAAACTCAACAATAGGGAATAAAAGACAACATTGAATTAGGTGAGATGACTAAACTCAACGGAATTAATCATTCAAAGATGACACAACTTCGGTAAAGACTACTTAAAAAAAAAATTACTGACAGCTATTAAAATAGCAAAGAATTTAAGCAGTTGGGAAACACAAATAATGGCTTGTGTGCTATACATTCCCATTATCCTGCCATGGCAGACATCACCAATCACACCACTCCTTCCCCTCACTGAGCCTCAATTTCTCTCAACATAAGCCTCCAGTGGAAATCAAGGTTGGCATTAGAGTTGAATCCATCTGTTGTCCTCAATAGCTATTTCTCAAATACTGTTCAAATCAACAAAAAGAAGCACCCCAGACTTAGATAATTAATGTTAAATGAATTTATAATAAATTTCATTTAGTTTTAATTGTTTCCCGACACACAAAATACTCTTAAAAAATTTGTTTTCCTGGTATTAAAAAGTATAATGTTTCCCATAAACAACATAGTCAATATAGTCTTTATTCAGAAAAAGACATTCTTCTTAAGGAATGTAACCTTCCTATTAAAGAGTTCTAGAAAATTGTAATTAACTGTATTTTTTAGCAGCCTTCGTTTTTTTACCCAATTTTCATTAAAAACCAGACGAACTTGCTTTTTCTGAGTATCAGTAAAGTTAAAATCAAACAGGCCTACATCATTTAAGAATGAAAATACGAATAGAAAGTTAAAAGAAAAAAAAACATATAGATGTATAAATTGAGTTAGAGAAAGAAGTACTTTGTTCTTGCAGTTTAAAAAAAATACAGGTCAATATTAACAAAAGACTAAAGAGTATATGATTATTTAAGATTTACTTTCTTCCAAAAAAGAATTTGAGATAGACTCCAGACGTGAAGATAAAAAGAGAAATAAAAACAGATCCCTGGAATGCTAGGATCGTGCTATGGTGGCTGACGTTTAGTATCAAGTATATTAACAAGAAGGAGTGAAAATCTGGATTCAGGAAGTTGTAAGAAAGCACTGTAGGATATGTAAGAATTATTTCCTAAATACTCAAGACTATTAAAGAAACATATGTTAATATTCTACAAAGAAATCATCCAGCTTCCTGGTCTAATAGCAGGACTCAGTTATTACAGATAAATAAGCAAAGTTAATAAACGACAACACAACCTCAGGAATAATAAACACCATAGAAAGGCGCATTCCCCACCCCAACTCCAAATTCAGTATGTGCTAATAATAAAACAATAAATCGCTCTGAGAAAATACCTGTTAGTGTCCATCAGAGAAAACGAAGTATATTTTAAAATACTTTTTTAGAAAGTTCCTTCAGCAGAAGCTGGTTAAGTAGGCACTGCCTCAAACCATGCATATCTTTTATCACTGTGGAGCTCTTTACACATACTGGTTCACACCTTTTTCACATTATTTCCTGTTATTTTAAGGCTTAGATAAGCAAATTGTTTGAAGCTTTTGCACTCTTGTAACTCTTACAGTAAGTACAAAAGTACAATAAACATTCCTGCCCAGGATCTTTTTTCTCTCTAAAACAAGAGTGAAATCTGAGCCATCTGTAAAGATTTGAGATATTCTTTAAATACGTATAAAACCTTTAAAAATCCATTTGTATCCAATTGTCTTCCATTCTTTCTCATTTGGACAGGCAACTTCATTTGGAGAGAAATTAAAAATTTACCTAAGTTGCCAGACTACACACAGAGAATAAAAATAGATCAATTTTGCTCCATAAGACAAACTGTTTTCAGTAAATAAACACGACACGAGGAGAGAAGCGTTGATATCTGGGCGGTTACTGCTGGGAAGATGTTCAGGGGCAAGGAATAATGCCGATTTGTTTACAGGTATCTTATGTCTTAGCGGCTTTAACCTTATTACAAGTACCAGGCAGTAAACAGAGACCGCTTATTGTATGGTACCTTTTAGATAAATTGGGAGGGGGAGAGAATCTAGAGACTTATCAAAGGTCCTTCAGAGAGACAATTAAGGAAAGCCACGGTTTTCCCACCACTGAAACGCATGAAGGGGGAGGTAGGTCCAAGCGCGTCTATCTTCTCCCTTGTTCAGAAAAACTAGCATCCCAAATGCGCACACCCCAGACAGACTCCAGCCTTTGGTAGCGAGTAACCAAAAGCCGTGACAGGCCCAGACTAGGTTCTTACCTCCTGGATGCGCTTCCTGGCCCGCTGAAGCACTTCTTCGTAGCCCTTCTGTCGCAGCTCGCTGAGGCTTTCGTAATACTCCTCGGGGTCGTCAGTTTCCGTGAAGAGTACTTGGGAGAGGATTTTCCAGCCGCAGGTGTCCAGGCCGTGGCCCAAGTAGACCTGGAGCTGGTAACACAGAGTGTCGATCTCCTGCTCGGTCATCTCGGGGGCGCCCCCAAACAACACCGTCCACATACCGGAGGGCTCCTCGGGGAACACGGGCAGGCACGGCTCCAGCTGAGAGTTCACGGAACAAAGCTGCTGGTGCACGGCACGCAAATCCTGGAAGGAGAAGAGCCCGGCCCAGCTGCATTCCTCGGCGGGGGACTCCAGCTCGGCAGCGGGTGTCTGCTGCTCCGCGTCCGAGGGCGCCAGGGGCGCCGAGGCGGCCTGGTCCTCCTTCACCATTTCCAGCACCTCGATCTCTTCGGAGACCGCCCCAGAGTCACTTATCACCCGCACCGAGGACACGGAGGCCTCGCCAGGAGCCAGAGGGGCCGCCGCAGTGGCGGCCCCCGCCACATCTCTGGCTTCAGATCCCCTCCGGACCCGGCTGGATTTGGCTCTCACTGGGCTCCTGAGGGGACTCTCCACCCCTTTGCTGGCTGGACTCCGCAGCAGCGGGTCCCCTCGAAGGCTGCGCGCGCTCCTCTGAGAGGCGCCCTCAGCACAGGCAGGGCTCCTCCGGGGCCCAGGGCTCCTGCCTAGAGTGGCAGAGGCGGTGGACTCGGGCCGGCCCCTGCCCGCCGGGCTGCCTGGGCCGCGGGGCCCATCGGACGTGGAGGCCCCGGCATCGGGATCCCCTCGCGCCCCCGCCTGCTCCCGGGAACCGCTCCTCTGCCTCTGGGCCGTCCGGTTGTGGCAGGTTATGGCAAACTTGCCCTCAATCTCGTTCCAGGCCACAATGAAGACGAACTTGTGCCTCTCCCGCTCTTCGAACACATGGGGCCGCACGGCCACCCAGTCCGACTCGAGCGTCTCCTCGAGCGCAAACGACATGGTGGCTCCGGCGCCGGCCCGACCGCCCGAAGACTCACCCGCTGGCTGCGCCGCGCCCCCTGCTCACCCTCGCCGGGCGCCTTCAGCCATCTTAACGCGCCAGCTGGCTCTTCCCGCTCGCTGCCCGTCCCTCCGCACTCCGACCCGCCGCTCTCCTTTGTGGCGCGGCTTGGGGGAAAGACAATACGTGTCCCCGGAGCAGGTAGTTCACATGGTCACGTGCGGCCGGATCTGTTTACAAGCCCCGCGGTGCGGTAGCTCCTCGCGCCCGCCCCGGCCGACCCGGCCGACCAACGCGCGGCTGCGCCCCGAGCCAGGCCGCGGGGCTGCGTCTGCGGCGCGCTGGAGGTGAAGCGTGGGTTCCCCAGGCCCGGCAGGCCGGTCAGCTGTCGGGGCCGGCAGTGTTCGCGTCTCGGCCGCTCGCCGGGGCCGACCTCCCCGCCCCCTCTTTCTCCTCCTCCTCTTTCTGACCGCTCAGAGCCGGCCCGACAGACTGATGCGTCTCCTAAACTCTGCGCCTCAGCATCGCCACAATGTTGCCATTCGGCTGCTGACGTCGGCGACTCCACGAGGGACGTAAACACGGGCACGTGCCGCACGCTGGTGACGCGACGGCGGCGGCGCGCGCACCGCCCAGTGCCGCCCCTAGGCGTCCCCGACCGGCTCCTGCGAGCGGCTGCGCTCCCTACTCTCCGATTCTGCGCAGCTTGGTCGAGGTGTTGGAGCCCGCGACCGGCGGCTTGCTGTCTTCTGAAGGTGGTGAGTGGCAGGTGTGTCCTGCGGGAGAGATGGCCTCCGAACCCCGGGGAAAGAGGAACAAATGCTGAGGAACTGAGACTTTTGAAACTCTAGGCGTTCAAAGCGACCCTGAAATGTAAATTTGCCTCCATTCGCTCTGAGGGAGTCGGGAGGGATAACTCCTGTATTCACCCAGTAACGTTATGGGAACTATGTCCTAAACTTTATTGGGTTCCCCCAGACGGTTCAATTCTACTGTAACACCCTTGAGACAAAAGATAAGAAAGGAAGGTGCCTAAAGACAACCCAGTAGAACTTCAAAACAAAATGAAATGAAAATTCTGTCATGTCCTAGTACAGCAGTGTTTTACATTTCAGTCCATCCAGTGTTTTATTCCTTCAGGTTTCATCACTGTGTACTGTTCTGTGAACTTCATTTTCAGGTCACCGGGCTTGAGCCCTTTTGAAGTTTTATTCAATTACCAGAGTTCCCAGAGTGTGCTCCCCCCCAAAAAACCCATATAAATCTGAATAACTCTACCATTCATACTAAACTATGATGAAACACATGTTAAAATTGCCTTCTGGATCTTATTGCCATTCTGATTAGTCTCCAGTTTATATGGCAAGTATTTTGTATCCACAGTAAAGTACAATGGGAATTAACGTGTTCTTTTATGTTTATCTGCATTTCTAAAGTATACACAAAACTCTTTGCATTAAACTTGCATTTTCAGCTATACATGTTGTTAGATGCCCTCCAGTCACTTCCACCTCATAGTGACCCTATGTACAATACTGCCCAGTCCTGTGCCATCCTCACAATTGTTTCTGTGTTTGAGTCCATTGTTGCAGTCACTGTGTCAGTCCATCTTGTTGAGGGTCTTGCTCTTTTTTGCTGACCCTCTGCTTTGCCAAACATGGTGTCCTTTTCCACAACTAGCTACTCGTAGTTGAGTGTTATCCTGACACCTGAATAAACGGCCAAAAGTTTTAGCCCTGTCACTCAGCTTTGACCTAAAGGGGGAAAAAGGCTTTTTTTAGGGGGGCAGGATGAGCAAAAAGGACTTTGGTTTCTTAATCTTTTATAGTTCTTTGTATGGAACCATAGACTTTCAAAGCTTCTAACTATGACCTTGTGTCACCTCTCAAATACAAATCAAGAATATACCTTTTGAAAGGCAAGAAGAAAGAGGGAGAACCCTTTGCAAATCTGAATCACTAACTAAGCAAACCTTTTCTGCTAAAAAAGTCACTGGTGAAGGTTTTTCTGATGAAAAGTTACTGCTGATGATCACTAGATCTCTTGAATACATTTTAACTAGTTGCCATGGAGTGGATTTTGACTCATGGTAACCCCATGTGTGTCGCAGTAGAAATGTGCTCTGGAGGGTTTTCAATAGCTGATGTTTCAGAAGTAGATCACTGGGCCTTTCTTCTGAGGCATCTCTGGGTGGACTCAAACCTCCAACCTTTTTGTTAGCAACCTAGAGCATTAACCGTTCACACCACTCGGGAACTTCTGCATATATTATAAAAACAAAACAAAACAAAACCCATTGCCGTTGAGTCGATTCCGACTCATAGTGACCCTATGGGACAGAGTAGAACTACCTCATAGGGTTCCCAAGGAGCAGCTGGTGGATTCGAACTGCCGACTGTTTGGGTACCAATGCCACCAGGCCTCCACATACATTATAGATAGGTATAAATACTGAGAATAAATGCTAACAGTATGTTTATTGGAAATATTTTTATTTACGTGTACAGTCGTGTTGTTTAACATCCACGATACGTTCTGTGAAATAGGATTTCGCAGAATGTGATTTGGATGTTGTGCGAACATGCCTAAATCGCAAGCAATAGCATTCACTGATTTTCTACGTTCATGTTCTTTAATAACCTTTTGTTTCACTACCAAATCGATACTTCTTTGCCTCTTGCTGCTGTTACCACTAGCACTGGTTTTGCTGCGTTTGAGAACCTTGATGCACTTCATGGTAATATTTTTGAAAGAAAACTAAACAGCTAACGCTGCAACACTTTAAGAGACTCATGATACACAAGATTGGATGCTGCTGCCTACGAGTCAAAAGCACACGCTGTTACATGGTAAACTTTTTATTTGTAAGTAGGGAAAGTTCACATTAAAATAATGATAGAAAGTACAGTACATACATAAGCCAGTAACATAGGCGTTTACTGTAACTATTAAGACATATGTATTATAGGTTATATATGTACTGTACCATTATATGCCTGGCAGTGCAATCACTTTGTATACAAGAGACATGAGATACATGTGTTGCGTGTGGGAAGCTGTTGCGTTTGCTATGTCCGGTTATGTCCACTACGTTCTGTTCTCCGATTTGGATTTCTGAACTCTATTATAACTTTATGGGACCATGGAGGTAGTGTGGTTGGACATTGCCCAAATGGACGTTACACAGCACACGACTGTGTATTAATTTTAATTGGTCCTTGGTGGCGTAGTAATTAAAGTGCTTGGCTACTAACTGAAAGGTCGGTGGTTCAAACTCACCAGCCGCTCCGTGGAAGTGAGATGTGGCAGTCTGCTTCCATAAAGATTTACAGCCTTTGAAACCCTATGGGACAGTTCTCCTCTGTCCTATAGGGTTGCTGTTGACTCAACGGCAGTAAGTTGCGTTTTGGATATTAAATTTGCAGTATTTATTCACAGACATAAAATTGTGTCTTATAACGCTAGAAAAAATTAGTTTGTGGTCATACAGCTGTTAAGTATTTTCTTCCAATATCCTGGCCACTGTATTTTCTCAAAAGAGAGATGTTTCAATGTTTCTCATTTCCTTTAAGTAATTGTTATCCTAGAAATGGAAAGAAACAACCTAAAATTCCCATGGTAGGTTACTGTAGTACTCTACAATTCTTTTTTAGATCTGTATCTGATTGTCAAGCAAGGTCTGAGTTTGTATTTTCCTCCTTGGGAATAAGTGAAGCTACAGAAAAGCCACATACACCATGTAAACCTTGAAAGGGCTCGAAAACTATTATCTCTGTTTGAAGTTTTTAAAACTATTGAGGACTGTTAGGTAACCCGGGAAATGCTTTAACTTGTTAGGCCTTTTAATAAAAATGATATTTACATAGAGATTTTCGAATGACATAGCATTTTCATGTATATGTTCATTTTATCTTTACAATGATCATGTAATGTAGGTATAAAAGGAATAAGTATGTTTAATTTTACAAGTAAGACAACAGTAGCTCTAATTAGTTAGACCACATATCCCAGGGTTGGGAGCAGGGAACGACTTGAATTCAGGGGCCTGATTCCTAATCTGTGCCAGTTAGATTCTCCCAGAAGCAGACACTGAGAAGAAGGAATCTAAAGGTTTATTGGGGATGGGGTGGGGGTAGGGGTTAACACCTGTGAAAGAAATGGAAGCACGATTGAGTGGGCTAGTCCCACAGGAAGCTCCTCAAAGCAAAAATTTCCCCTTAAGGAAGTTCCCCCACTGGGTAGAAATGGTTAGCTCTTGCTCAGTCATTGGCTGGGGACAACCCCAAGGAAAACACAGCCTGAAAACCTGAAGCTGACTCTTGGGATACTAATAGCTAGGGACTGTCAGCTAACCACACTCCTTGCAGCTGAGCGGTAAGTCCTTTCTTAAAGGAAGATCTGAGTGATGTATCTCATGTCTTCCACAGTTTATCTTGTGTGTCACGTGGATCCACTTCTCCATAACAGATTTAGGGAGCAGCTCCACCAGAGCTCTGGTGGGCCTTTTTTCCTGAGGGGAAATTTAGAAAAAGGAGGTTAGTGGGATAAACAACAGACTCCATTGCTGCAATTGGTCTCATGGCCACGACTGGTACTCATCATCTCCCTCCTCCACTGTTCATTCTAAAGTCCCCTCACCCTCTGCTGCCTCAGTGGCTCACCTGGTATTGTGTCACAAACCCTCATTCCTAAGAGGGCTGAACTGCTGGTAAGCTCAGCAATGTGTAGCCTCCATTGCTACATTACTACATTTGTCACAGTTAGGCAAGGGCATAGCAAGAGGCACCCAAGTGAGTCACCTGAGTTCCACACACATTTATCCCTACCTCCTCCTGCTGATCAGGTTCAGTTATCCCTGACAAGTTGACGACTCCTCTTCTTGCCTGATGTTCCCTGGCTACAAAGAGACCAAAGTGTCCAGACAGCAGCTGTAGTTTGTAGTTCATTGGGAGCTTTGCTTTGTCTCCTGGCAAGAATGCAACCATCTTGGGGACCAAGACCACTAACCCTGCAGAATCCAGAGCTGTGAGGACCCCCAGTGGGTCACTAAAAGTGATGGTAAGTGAGTTCACTCCTGCTTCTACCCCTTGGTACCTGAACCTGTGTATTCTTCCTATTGAGGACACAGTGCCGTATAAAGGTCTGTGACTCAATGCCTATACCATGTCCTGGAGGATGGTATCCCCATCCTTGCCGAGTATTTCCTCTGAGCTGATGCTTCAGCTGCACCTTCAGTGTACCATTCCAACATTCTTTTAAGCCAGCAGGTTCTAGATGGAGAGGTATATGATATGACAAGTGGGTCTGCAGAGTGGTTTCTCTGGTCGGATACTATGTTGTATTTCATGTCTGTGCATCAGGTATTCTATAGGTGGCTTAATAGTGGTGTTAGCTGAGGCTTTGCAGGACTGTTTGGAAAGGCAAACTTATACCCTGAGTAAGTGTCTATTCCTGTGAGAAAAAACACTAGCTCTTCTAGATGAAAGCATCCAGGGTAGCCAGTTTGTGACCAAGTGACTGGTTGGCCTTCACAAGGAATAATGCCATTCATATTGGGGG